ATTTGAAGATTTCGCAATAAGTTTAAGAATTTTGCATCACTTGCTGATGACTTGCCATTTCAGCATTTACATTCTTAATATTACCTTGAAGATAGTCTTTTTTATTTTATGAGGATAGATTCTGATAATTATTTATAGCTAGTGGTGCCTTCAATCTTTATTCCACATTTTCTCTATGCTTACCATGATTCTCCTATTCTATGCGAGCATATAATACATCATTGTATGACCAAGAAGCTATATAAATATTTCTATTGGCCAAAGATGCGACGTGATATTATCTAGTATATGCATAACTACATTTGGTGCCAAACTCATAATACTCCCCCTCATGTTACAAAAAGATAATTAGAGTTAATTGCAGTTTCCTGTATATGTGAGTGGGTGGCATTTGATATAATGGGGCCTTTTCCACGTTTGACTGCTGTCAATGAGTATATCATTTTGCTTCTAACTACTTGACTCACTAGGTGAAAATAGGTGCTCTTGCTAGTGTGTCTGCAACTATTGTTGAATACTTCCTTCTCAATCAAGTGATGTTCCAACATTCTTGTCTAGAGCGAATTTTTTCGAATAATGGTCTCGCATTTATGGCTAAGGCTTTTCACATTTTGACGTCTCAGTTGGGGATATGCCACACTTTCACAAGTGTTTATCATCCACAATTAGATAGTTTGGTGGAATGGCTCGTATGGATTTTCAAAGGGATGATTGCGAAATACATGAACTTTCAACATTCAAATTATGATGGTTATTTGCTGTTTTTTTTATATGTGTATATCACAGAGGTGCAGAGTTCTATTAGTTCTTCACTATAAAAAGTCCTATATAGTTATGATCTAATACTATTAACGAAGTTGGGTTTACCTTCGTAATTGCCACAAGCTGCTAATACTAGGTCTTGGGATCAATATTTGACGAGCATTCTTCCACTTGTCCAAGTAGAATTTGCCAAAAACCTAGGCCGTTATAAATGAGACAACAATATCATTACAACTCTCATTATCGTCCACCTATGGAGTACAAAATGGATGACTTAATGTTAATCTGTTTTGGTATTTGGTTTGTCTAAAGGGCTTCTTTTTAAATGGAAGGAATTGTATTAGATGTTGTGGCAAGTTGGACCGCAAGTTTATAAGGTTTGGCATGATGTTCAACAAACCAATCCTCCAAAAATTATGTATGTACAACAACTAAAACGCTTTATACAAAGGGATCACGAACAACTAACACCACTTACAGATCCACTAATACTTCTTAATGTTTTTCCAGATCCTAGCCTGTCTATGAGAGAACCCTAACTATTTTTCATCATTCTGAGAGGAGATGATGTGAGGTTCAAGTGTATAGTTACAATGTTATATATTAATATTAACATAGTAGGATTTTCATAGTCGTCAGATTGGTTTAAATCTGGACCACTCGCTCCTATATACAAGTTAGGGCTTTTAGGTTAATTGATATGCACATTTTTTGTATTTCATTTCTATATTCTATGCACTTATAGAGGTATATAATATAAAATTTTTGGTATATTAATTATTATTTTTATTATTATCATCATCATTACTATATGGAACATAAAACATTTTGAAGTATTTATTGTAGTGCACTTTATCTCTTTCCTCTTAAGCCAACTGGAAAAAAGGCAATTACTTAATGAGAGAGCCTTTAATGGCTATTTTATCCCCATTTATCCCCTAAGGTTCTAAGGATCCATGGTGATAGTATATCCAAATCTCATCCTATGATCACATGCACTACAGTATTTGATGATTATAAAATTTTATTTGGAAAATTTATTTCATAAAAAATAAATTACAATTATTTAGATAGAAAATATTGTTGATTAAAAAAATTGTTGTGCTAAACAATATGAGTTGGTAGTCCATAAAATATTTTTACCATGGTATAAAACTAAATTATCATCATTTTTTAAAACTAAAATACAATCGAATAAATTATTTGAAGATATCTTTATCTCCCAAATAATATGGAATTTTGAATACATCTTAAAAAATCAATTTGATTGAAGAATTAATATGTTTTAGCATTTAAAAAAACTAAAATATTACTTGAATACAATACTAATTTAGGAATATGCATATTACTTGCATCAAAATAATAAAAGAAATATAATCTGTTAAAGGGAACTTGAAAGCTTAACTAATACTCTTGTATATAAAGTTCTGTTTCCTTGATTAAATTATACTGTATCAAAAAAAATGTTTTTACCATAAAAGGTTTTTTTAGTAGTACAAATATTTTTATATTTAATAATTAAATTAATAATTCCTTGAGATGTAGATAGTTCACTACTATCATTAAAACTTGTTAGATATGAATATTGACTATCAATTTTATTTATTAATTTATAATAGTCTGTAAATATTTGTAAAATATTCATATAAATTTAAAACTCTAACATTTCCAAATCTTGTATATGGTGTCCCATATACAAAACAAATTTTAAAATATATTAAAATTATAAAACTTAAAATCTTAAATTTTATATTCATTACTTTAACAGAATTTTGTTTTTCTAATCAAGGTCTAATAATTATATATAAATATCAATTTTTATATTATAGTGTTATTAAAATTTTTATTTTTATTTTTACTATGCAGTTATAATATTTGAATAATTGTTTTTAAAACTTTAATATATCAATATTATTTTACTTTGTTTTGGTGTTTACTAGGGAAATTGTTAGGGCAAATTCTAGGGCACTTTACTAACATGTTTTTGAGTATTATTTTATGTTTTTGTGTCTACATTCTAGGGCATGGTATTCTTTTTTTTCAAGACAAATATAACTAAATTAATTTCTTATAATAGTTAATAGGGCAATTTATTTCTTAATAGAATGCTTCTAATAGATGCCAAAGAATTATTCTTTTCTCAACTGATGTTATCTCAAAAGTGAGACCTAATGTGCAATATATCATAAAAGGGAGAACAGTCAAAGTCAAGTTTAATTCATATAGGAAGATTGTGGTAAATGATAGGGAGGAAATTAGTCAGATAGTGAAATTAAAGATTCTGTGGGGGAATTAAGGTGTTGGCTTCTAGAAGTTACAGCTTCACAAAATTGACTCAGTCACCATCCCATAGTTGAGTTGGAAAAGAATTTTTATGTAGCTTTTAATCAATTGTAGAAACACAGTGTTCCTTAGGTATAAGCCTTTCTAACATCTTTTGGCCATGTTTATGGGAATTTACAAAAGACTTACAAGCCATGAAATCCCAAGTGTAGAGAGGTGTCAAGCATCACCCAAGGAAAAGTTAGTGGAGTCATGGTGCAAAAGAAGAGTGTTTTGAACTAGGAATCAGCATTTGCTACAATGCAAGGCACACCTATAACATAGAAGCTAGGCTGCATCATTCCTAGCTGGAGGAGGCCTTGATCATGATGGATTAAAGTTAGGCACATCTAGGGCAGCCAGAGGCAAGAAGGCAATGAAGAAACAACAACCAACTGCCACATAGTACCCTTCTATTGCTGTCACATGGATCAACCCTAACTTGGATTGGTCACCTCTCTAGGAGGTCTTCAACCTTAATCTGCTTTATAAAAGACTTCTGATAGTGCCAATTAACCACAGTAGATTATAATTTTTAAGAACCTATTTTCATCCTCCTCTTGGTTCAATTGTTTCTATTGACTATGATTGAAAACTTTGCCAATTGGGCCTCTCCTGCTAAACAAAAGAAATGAAGTTGTTTGATCCTCAATTTATACGGTATAATATTCTTATTCAATATGCATTTCCTATAAAAGTGATGAATAAGAAAAAAAAGATGAACAAGAATGGGAATGATATACAAATTCACACTCTAAGAGCTATCTACAATGAATTATGATCTAAGGCTATAGCAACAAATATGTGATTGTATAAATACGGATTTATTTTTTTGTTTTAAGTTGTATATAAAAAACAATCAATATTTTTGTCATGGGCTATACCCTATATACATGTGGCATGACATCTCACACTACCATGTAAATATCATTCCACATCATTCTAGACAATATGACATCACTACAATCTAGTGAGTTTTTATGGTTTTATTTTCATGTGTGAAGATTTGTAATGTGTTAATTGTGATCGTCTCTCTCCTTTCATTTCTTACTACTGTAGCTCATTTCTCATGGTTTGGAGGTGTAACTCCCCCAAATATAAGCATTATGCACCAATCAATTGATCATGCCTCTCATTTCTTACACTTGTTTGTAGTGTAGCACCCTAATCTAGCATAGTAGCAAGCATAATCAATTAGAGCATGATGGTGAGCACAATTGGAGTGTAGTAACAAGTGCAATCAATTGGAGTGCAATAGCAAGTTTGATCAATTGGAGTGTTGAGGCATCTATTGGTTTTTAGCATTGCACACAAGAATTTCTTTATTAGTTGCAAAACCACTCATTTATAGAGAGAGTGCCCCAAGTATGCAGCAATAGTGAGTTTTCAAAAAGCATTTAAAATCTAACATATTAAAAAAATATAACACCCACAAAACCCAAACTTTAAACCCTACTAACATGTAGAGAAAAAAATTGATATAAAGACACAACACAAAAAGTCATATATATGGTGTGGTGTTGATATGAACTTTACCATGTATATGTGGTGGGCATCAATACATACCCATGCATAAAAAAAATCTACTCAAAAAATTATTTTATAAGTCACACATGTAATTTAAGCAATTTTTTTTTTTGCAAGATTTTTTAATAGATCAACCATCATAAATACACCTCCCCCCAAATTGCAATCATAAATTGCTTGCCACACTGTCACTAGATAGTTTAGGTATACACTTATTAGCCACAATCTATATTTCTATTTACCCAGCTTGAAATTGAAAATACTATTCCTCTTTATAGTACTGAATCAATGCTTCTATTGGCAAAAGCCATAATTTAAATTAGTTTTGTACATTAATATTTCGTGAAAGTTTGTGCTCATAAGTTCTTAGTCAAGAATGATGGTTTCTAATGGAGAGGGCCTCGTTCGAGGCACTTCTTGGCCAATGCAGCAAAACAAAGGCGCTACTGAGAGGCAGGAAAGCTCACGAGAAGCTCAAGGCTCATGGCTTCCATCACGAGACTTACATGGGCAACCTCCTCGTCCAAATGTATGGAAGCTGCGGGGCTCCACAAGATGCCGCACTGGTCTTTGATTCGATTGCACAGCGCAATGTCTTCAGCTGGAACAATCTACTAGCGGCTTACACTCACAGTTGGAACTTGCGAGAGGCGGATATAATCTTTAGAAAGATGGCTCAGCACTCGCTGGTAACTTACAGCACCATGATCACAGTGAAAGCAAGAGCGGGGAGTTTAGAGGAGTCTAGGGACTTGTTTGATCATCTCCCCGAAAGCAGCCTTTCTTCTTCCACAACTATGATGATAACATACGGGAAAAAGGGAAATACCAGTGACGCAAAACAAATCTTTCATGCTACAAAGAACCGAGACGTGGTAGCATGGAATGCAATGTTGTCAGCGCTTACCCAAAATGAAGAACTTGAGGACGCAAAACTTTTTCTACAAAGAATGCCGTTCTACAACGTTGTGACTTGGACAGCCATAATATCAGGCTACATATACAGTGGCAACATTGGACACGCAAAGGCATACTTTGACAACATGCCGGAGCGAAGCACCATCACCTGGAACTTGATGATCTCGGCATATGCCCAGTGCGGGGATTCATGTCAATGTAGACGTCTGTTCGACAAAATGCCCGGAAGAACTGCCGAATCGTGGAACTCAGCAATGCAGGCTCTAGCTAAAGCTGGAAGCGTAGAGGAAGTAGCAAAGATGTTTGAGCTTATGCCGGAGCGAGATATAGTTTCATGGAACGTCATGCTGCTGGCTTCCAAGCAGCTCAAAAACGCCGAGAGCTTGTTTGCGAGCATGCCTCCAGGACGAGACGTAGTCTCTGGAAATATCATGCTAGGAGCTTATGCCAAGGCTGGACGAATGGATCTCGCTGATAGCTTCTTCGCAAGGATGCCACAGCACAGCTCCGTGTCGTGGAACGAGATGATCCAAGCGAGCGCCCAGCTCAGCGATGCCTCCTACTCGAGCTTGCTTTTTGCGATGATTCCGGAGAGAACTGTGGTCACCTGGACGGCGCTGCTTTGCCTCTACGCACAGAACCGCTGCGTGGAGGACGCTCGCTTCTTCGTCTTCGATAAGATGCCGCAGCGAAACCTTGTGACTTGGAACTCGATGGTGGCAGCATACGCACAGCTTGGAAATCCGGCGGAGGCTCTCGAGCTCTTCAAGTCCATGGATTTGGAAGGGATAACTCCCAATGAGATCACGTTCTCGACCGCCATCGACGCGTGCACAACGCTCCACTGGTTTGAGCTCGGCAGGATCATCCACTACGATATAGTTGCCGCTGGAGTGGAGCCAGATGCGTTCCTCGCCACTGCATTGGTGAGCCTCTATGGAAGAGCCGGATCGCTCTCCACCGCGAGAGCACTTTTTGAGAGGAATCCGAACAAGGTGGTCGGGTCCTGGAATGCGATGATCACGTCCTATGCCGACAACGGGCTGGCCGGAGAAGCACTGGAGCTGTTTAGCGCGATGCAGATCCATGGAGTGGATCCCGACCACGTGACTTTCAAGAGCGTCCTATCGGCTTGTAGCCATGCTGGGCTGCTGCTCCATGGTGTCGTCAACTTCGGCTCCATAGAAATGGACTTTGGTGTAATGCGAACAGGAGATCACTATGAGTGCGTTATTGATCTTCTCTCGCGATCTGGAATGCTGCAGCAAGCTGAGGAGCTCGTTGCCAAGATGCCGTTTGAACCGGGATGCTCGGCCTGGAGGATACTTCTCGCTGCATGTAAGAGTCACGGCGATGCTAAGAGAGGGGAGTACCTAGGCAAGCAAGTGCTCGAGCTTGACGAGGATGGCAGCAGTGCTTCGCCTTACATCGTTCTGTCGAGCATCCACTCTCAAAGTGCCGAGGTTGATCGAGGCTTATTGGAAACCTGCTCCTGTGAGTGAGATGAGCTTAAAACACTTGTGGTATTTTTCTCTATAGTTGCTCGAGAGATTCAGGCTTGGGCAGCTTAAGCTTGAGGAACGACTCAGGAACTCCACCGGTGAGTTCAAGGAACAAAGAAAGGCTTAGTTCAACAGAACATTTTAGGTTGGAGACCTTGTGATGAGGTACTGTAGTAGGTTGAACAAAACTTGTAGGGAGAGCCTATGATACTTATTAGCATATTTGGGTGGCAAGCAAGAGTGAATGTGATGCCATTCTATATTTGATTATGAAACAACAATTTTGGGCTGCAAACAACCCATATTGTGGGATTATGTGGCAGTAAAAAATTTTAGTCAACCAAACTACATACTGAAGTATGTCTCTTATCTTCAACATTTCCCTCCTTTTGATGACCTCATCCAACCTTGCCACCTTTTATTTCTTGTCACTGTATGACTTTGCCACCACCTTTTCTATCATTCCTACCACCTTCCAAAGGACTACATAAGGAGAGCTGAGAATAAAAGCCCTGTTTAAAGAAAAGCCTCACTGGAACCATCTATCCATCAGGCATTGCCTTACATCCTCACTGAGCCTCTCAGCCGAAGTGCATCTAACCATGAGTATATCTTGAGTATCAGCAGGGTCCTTTCTTCAGCAGCTTACATTTGGGGCATATACGACAGTGCACAAGAGGAAATCATGTCTATGTCGCCCTCATCAGTGTTTTGTCAGTGCCTTTGCTCAGATCCATGCTTGAAAACCGAGTCACAACTCTGGCCAGCAGCTTGATAGAGGCCTCTGTTGAAACTTCTACCTTCAAAGTGTGGTTGTCCACTAGCTTGCACTTGCTGGAGAAGCACATAGGTGGCAAACCTTGAAATCCCAGTGAAGGGACTTGTGCCAAAGTCACGTGTATCTTGAGTAGCTAGGGCCAAAGAACACAAACCTGTTCATCATCACCATGTCCTCTATCATTGTAGAGAAGCTGAAGGTTTGCCAAAGTATTCGTGACATAATCCTCTTCATGTGGAAACTCCACCACTGTCAACCTTGAAGAAGCTCCCAAGAAGAACCACCTGTCATAAAGACCAACAATCTTGAAGCGTTTGCACACGACACCATCACTATAAGCTCCCAATCCCTTGCAAGAATCACCTTACAAAATGAGGAGGATCTCCTCCACCTTGCTCCAGCTCACCACGTCCATGGAGCAAGCCCCAAAACCCATGTGAGGCTTTCTTCTTAGTCTAGAGTGTGTTGTTCTTTGATTCTTCCTCTTGAAACTATAAAAGTAGTTAGTGGCAAAGAGGGAAAGCATGGCAGCCCCAGGAAAGTTGGAGAGAGGAGAGATCAGTGCTCAATGCCCCGCTGATGGAAAACGAGAAATTTTCTTTGGATGGTGAGCTTTACAATTTCTTGCCATTCCCAGCCTTTTCATGTGGGAATGGCAAGAAATTGATACCCCAATTGATACCTAAGATCCACATGATGCGGTTGGATGTTCCGTAGTCACAACCGCATGCTTGTCCTTCTCCATTTCCGCACAAAGTTCCTGCTCCTATTCTTCTTGTTACTCGAGAGATGAGTGAGTTCTCAGAACACTTTCTTGCATGGTGGAAGCGGAGTGCCACACAGTCCGGGATTGTCTGTGAATGCCGCAGCTGGGAAGCTGCGGATCTTCGGTCCCTGTGGTATTTTCCCCGATAGAGAGTTGCTCGAGAGATTCAAGAATCGCAAGCTGGGCAGCTTCAGCAACGACTCAGGAACTCCACCGGTGAGTTTGTTCGATGACAAGTCGAGAGACTCCAGCGACGTTAAGTTTCCGACGCTTGCAGGAATGCCACCTTGGAGCTGGTTGTGCGAGAGGTCAAGCGTCTTGATCACTTTGAGGTTGGCTATCTCTTTCGGAATGCTACCCGTGAGCTTGTTCTTCGATAGATTGAGGTAGGACCAGCTGTCCTGGGTTCTACTCGGAGGTGGAGGGATCTGACCACCCAGCTGGTTGTCGGAAAGATCCACGAACTCTAGAAATGACGAGTTAGAAGAGAAGATTGGACTTACCGAGCCGGACAACCTCGTTGAGCGAAGATCCAGTCGAGTCAAGACGGAGTACTTGCTGATGTCACTGCTCAGCGGGACGGCCAGAGGATTGAACGACAGGTTGAGATGGTACAATCCAGAAAAGCTGCTCGATAACGTTGGGAGCTGTCTCACTTTGATGGTGTTCATGGAGAGATCGAGGACGCCCAAGTTGAGCTGGGAGAGAAAAGATGGCAGCTCCTCGATGCCACAGGAAGCGAGAGAGAGCCGGAAGTAATTCGCACGCAGTTTTGACAGCCAGCCCGGGACGGTGTGGAGATGAAATTGGTTGTAAGACAGGTCGAGAGTGGCGAGCTGCGTCTTGGAGAGGTCGGGAAAGCTTCCAGCCAGCTTGTTATGGGCGATGTTAAAGTCTGCAAGGCTGCGGAGCGACCCCAAGGAGCTTGGAACTTCACCGGTGAGCTGATTCAAGGATAAGTCGATGACGCTCAAGTTGACGAGGCTGCTGCTCCCCCATGAAACCGGAATGGTACCACTTAGCTCATTTTCCGACAGCCAGAGATTTCGTAGTGACTTGCAGTTGCCGAGCGACGAAGGCAGGCTTCCAGTGAGCTGATTGTCGGAGAGATCCAGCACTTCCAACAAAGATAGCTTCCCAAGGTCCGAAGGAACAGGACCAGCGATCTTGTTGTGAGCCAGTTGCAACTCTTTCAGCGTTGAGATGGAGACGATCGAGCCTGGAATGGAGCCGGTAAGCCTGTTGCTTGATATATCCAGCTTCTCGAGACGGCGAAGGTCGCCAAACGAGGATGGTATGCTGCCTGTTAGCTGGTTGGACTCGAGACGAAGCTCCCGGAGATTTTTCAGCGAGCCGAGCTCGAAAGGAATTGCTTGAGAGAGCTTGTTCCCCTCGAGGTAGAGCTGCGTGAGCCTGGAAAGAGCGCCAATGGCTGCCGGGATGGGACCAGTCAGGTTGTTTCCATCGAGGAAAAGCCTCTTGAGCGTCGAGATTTTGCCGATGGAAGCAGGGATCTCCCCGGAAAGACCAACTAGCGAAGAAAGTGCCAAGGACTCGAGAGAGGAGAGCATACCGAGCGAGGGAGAGATCGATCCGGTAGCACTTTCGTAGCCGATGGAATCGCCGGCATCGTAAGGATCGATGATCTCCAAGGAGATGACTCTTCCAGTCTTGTTGTTACACCTGATAGTTGGCCATGAACAGCACTGTTTGCCTGTCCAGGCCTTGAGCCTCCCCGAGCTGATAGTGATAGTGGATTTGAAGTCGAGCAAGGCCTTGAGGTCGTCCTTGTGACACGAAGCATTCAAAGCCTTGGTGAATTGATCTGTTGCTGCAGCCACTGAAGAAGCACAGATCAGCGCTAGCAAGAAGAGAGTTGAAAGAGACGAACGATTTTCCATCTTAACTTATGCCTCAACACGAAGCACTACTTATATGCCGAAGGTCAGTCAGTACGTGTCGATAGGGATAAGTGATGAATGATGGTCGTCCTGTAGCCATTGGAGGGCAAGAAACTTATGTCAGTCAACATTGTTCTGCTCTAGAAAATGTATTATTTACCGGATCTCCGACATAAAAAGCTGTCAAGAGAGTTCCGTCCGTGTTTGGCCTTGACTCTGCAAGCAAGAAGAAAACAAACTTGAAATGGAACTGCTTCAAAAAGATTTTACCAGCAATCACCACAGGAACATATTCCATTTCGGAAAATGTGTAGCCGGGTGTCTCTGACGATCACGGTCCGCTGCTCCAGCTTAGAGATAAGAGCAGTAGTTGCGTGGCATTCCTCGCAAGTCTTGTAGTTGTTTACGACTCGAACCGGTGCTCCAGGAGGAGAGCTCAAGAGAGCACATGCCACCGCAAACTTTTCCGTGTGTCCACACAAGGCGAGATCGTTATCATGGCCGCCACTTCCACACTGTTCTCCGTTTCCTTGTCCTCGCTCCAGATTATTAAAAAGATCATCCAGCTTCGCTTGAATCTTCTCAGTTAGTGGATGCCTCTTGTCACCCACAACGAAGACGTGCACTCTTCCTTTCCTATCCGTCCACCAGCTCTGTCCAGATCTTCTCAAAACTCCAGCAGTTTTTCCCATTTCCTGGATCTCCCCAACCTTTCCTGCCAATCCAGCAGCACTGTAGACGTTCGCCATGAGGGCGTAAGCCAGAGTGTTCTTGCTGTCCATCTTCATCACCTCCTCAAATGCGAACCTCCCAACTTCTGTGTTCTTCCACTTCCAGCATGAGCTCAATAGAGCCGTGTAAATCACCACGTCTGGCTCGCATGCCATCTTTTTGACCATTGCCACAGCTTCGTCCAGTTGATTGGCACGCCCCAGTAAATCCACCATGCAAGTGTAATGCCTGATGCGAGGAGCGATGCCAAACTCTGAGCTCATTCTCCGGAAGTAACCTTTCCCCTCTTCAACGAGGCCGGCATGGCTGCACGCGGTAAGAACCGAGAGAAAGGTGACCTCGTTTGGTCGCAGCTTGTCCTCTTGCATTTTCTCGAACAGATCAAACACCCGCTCGCTATCGCCCTGACAACTGTAACCTTCGATTAGAGAGCTCCATGTCACGAAAGTCTTGTGGGGAATTGAATGAAATACCTTTTCCGCATCGACTATGCTGCCGCATTTTCCAAAGAAATCGATCAGCGAGGTGGCTACAAAGGGATCCTCGCCAAAGCCAGCCAGCATGAGCTCATCCTGCACTCGCTTCCCGAGTTCTAGCGCTGCTAAAACGCCACAGGCCTTAAGAACTGCAACAAAAGTCACAGCATTTGGTAAGCATCCTTCATTTTGCATACGACAATAGTACCTGAGAGCAGCGTTTGGAAAGCCACTCTGAGCGAGCCCCAGAATGATACAGTTCCACGAGACCATGCTCCGTGCCTCCATGCTCTCAAAAATCCTGCAAGCATCTCCAAGGCTCCCACATTTTGCGTACAAATCCACCAGGGAGCTCTCCACGAACACGTCTAGCTTCTTCACAGTCTCCACAGCTTGAGAGTGAAGAGCTCGGCCTCGTTTGAGCGACTCAACCTTGATAATCTTGCCATCAACTTGCTTTCCATCTTCTTTCCCTGCCAAACCAGCGCAAGCCTTGAGAGCAGCGAGAAGAGTAATTCTGTTCGCAGCCACACCACCTTCGTCCTTCATGCTCGAGTACAAGTCCAAAGCAGCTTTCTCCTCGCCACTCTGAGCGTACCCGAGAATGATCGAGTTCCAGGACACCACAGTCCGTTGCGGCATCGTCTTAAACACCTTGTGAGCGTCCTCCAAGCTCCCAAACTTCGCATAGAAGTCTATCAGAGCGTTCGAGACATAAGCGTTGCGCAGGGCTCCACTCTTGTCAGCTTGAGAGTGAACACTTCGAGCCTTCTCCAAACTCTCGGCTTTGACGAGCTTTCCCGACACAAACTCGCCTTGCTCTTCCTCTGCCAAGCTTGCACAGGCCTTCAGCGCAGCAAGAAGAGTGATAGAATCCGGCTCGTAGCCTTCCGAATTCATACGTGAGAAGAGTTCCCAGGCAACTTGGCCATCCCCTTTCTGTGCGTATCGAAGAATGAGGCAGTTCCACGACTGGACGCATCGGTGGTGCAAGCTCTCAAAAACTTGACGAGCTTCGTCCATGCTCCCACACTTCGCGTACATGTCGATCAAGCTGGTTCCCACGAACGCGTCGAGATCATCACCACTCTTTGCTGCTTGCGAGTGAATCTCTCTCCCTCTCTTCAGCCACCCTGAGTTCCCTCCACCACCATTTCCAGAGTTCTTGCCATCTCCAGCCAAACTAACGCAAGCCTTGAGTGCCGCTAGAACAGTGACACGATTTGGAGCACACTTTCCCTGTTCCTGCATTCTCGAGTAGAGATCCAGAGCTGTTCTCCCATCACCGCCTTGGACGTAGCCTTGAATCATCGAGTTCCACGACACCACATCGTGCTTCTCCATGCTCTCGAAAACCTTGCGAGCTTCCACCAAGCTCCCACACTTGGCGTACATGTCCACCACAGCGCTGGCCACGAAAACACTGGAAATATCCCCACTCTCCACCAAATCTGCGTGAATCTTCCTCCCAGCCTTGAGGTCGTTCGATCCCCGGCATACCTTCAATGCGGCTAGAGTAATCCCGATCCCCGGCTTCTGCCCGAGCTCGCGGATCTCGTGATACGTCGCCAGCGACTCATTCGATCTGTGGAAACCCTTGCTGGAGCTGGAGCATCGAATCCGGCTGGGACTAGTCTAGACGAGAGAGAAATAGTGTCGTATGGCGGCTAGATCGATCGAAAATGAGAAGCATACCTGGATCAAGCAGCCGCAAAGGCTCAATCTTCCCTGCATTTGGAGGGCCCTAAAATTTCCTGTCTTTAGGGCTCTTGGATTTTTATTTGATAAGGGTTTCCCGCCTTAGGATGGTCTCTGTCCGGAATTTTTATAAGGGTTTCCGGCTTTTTCATTGTCTTCTGTCTACACTATCCATTAGGCCGTCGGCATGAACGAAGGGCGTTGTGGATCCCAGACTGCTTCACTTTCAAGGAGGATCCTCTACCAGGTAATAAACTGAGGATTGATTAGCCTTGAAATGTTCGAAGGCCAGAGAAAAACTGCAAAACACAGACTCGCAATTTGACTCGGCTGAAAGTTTTGGCGGTGGTGACAGCGTAGTGCAGCCCGTGAAGATGACGCTGCACACACTTGTTCTGGCAGCGGAGTGCATGGCTGCTCGAATAGCCCGGCTCATGCAGGCGTTTGCTCATGACTTCGAACTGCCGGAAGAGTCTGTTGGCCCCCCAAAAGGCCAAACGAGTTTCTGTTATACAAGTAACTTCTTGAGCAATGTCCAGTTTTCTGGTCTCGCATGGTGAGCTTGCTCTTTCTCTTGTGGTTTGATTCAGTTACTTAGTTCTCTTGCGTTGTGTCATGACAGATGGATTGGATCGTGGAGTGTGTGGATGAGGATGTCCATATCTGTCTCCTGAGGTGGAGGATCTGGTGTCGAGGTTTGCCGACAGAGGGCCAGGAAAGGTTAAACAAAGCTGACGCGAGCATGGATTGCGCTATGCTTGCATAGAGTTGCAAACTATGCCGGCTGTGCAAAGAGTTGAGGCAGCGCTTCAAAGTCCAGGCAACGGTGGTGTGCAACAACAGTGCCAGGGTGGTGGCGGAGATGAGGAGTGAATTGTCCGTGTTTGTGATTCACAGCAGCATGGACGAGAGGGAGGTGGAGTGTATCAAGCAAAGCAAGAACAGGTCCGTGATCGTCACAGATCAAGGCTGGTTTGAGACGTTCTTACTTTGAGCTTTTGTCTGACCAGACAACCAAAGTGGTGATTAGTCTTGTTGGAGGGGAGAAAGAGTGTGAGCTGTTGGATAGCATGAGGAGTTTGTATGGGGTCGAGATAGAGTTGCTGGCTTCTCATCCTAGGAAGCGCTTGTATTTTGAGGAAAAGGTAATATAGTAATTGGCATGAAAGAACCAGCCCATAATAGAACATGAATATAAGAATTTCAATCTTTATGACAAATTAAAAGAATGACTCTTGGCATTCTTTAGGATTCTACTGGGTATTGTCTAGTTTAATTTTAATGATTAAATTAACAATTTTTTATTATTAGTAATTTTTAAATAGTGACTGCATGGAATATGAAAATGGGAATACAGAAATGTGTATATCAATTAACCTAAAAACTTTAATTTATATATAAGAGTAAATGGTCTAGATTAAAATCAATCTAATAGCTATCAAAATCCTATTAGTAAACTAAAGATGGAAGGTAGTTAGGGTTCTTCTTTTGATGGGTTAGAATCAGGAGAAACATTAGGAGGAGGCACTAGTGGATTTTTAGTTGTTTCTAATCCCTTTATACGAAATGTTTTAGTTAGTGCATATGCACAATTTTTGGAGGATTAGCTTGTTAAATGGTATGATTGTAGTACATGTGGTTTTTACCCTTTATTCTATGGTGATTTACTATAGGATAACCACAAAGCAAAACTTAATGCCACGTGTCACATACCACATGCCATATGCCACGTGTCCAAAGGACAACAAAGTGGAATCCAAGTTTTAGAGTTTTGGGCCACTGAACAAAGGAATGGAGCCAAATTTCTAAACTTGAAGCCAAGGAGCGAAGGAATTGGAGCATAGAGTAACTCCTGAGTGTATAAGAAGTGAAGGGTCAGGAGTATGGAACGACTTAGAATAGTCCTAGAGTATCCAACATCCCAATGCTATGACTAGCATAGAAAACAGAGCCAAACAAAGTTTAGTGTTATTTCAATATATTGGTGGCTTAATGTAAAGTTATGGGTACTCCACTAGCTAATATGGTGTGAAATTTGGGCTTAGACCCAAGCCGAACGTAAAACAAGGACAAGTACGCAAGTGGGAATTAGACTATACCTCAAGTTTAGCTATTCCCGACCTACCTATTATTCCTACTATATATTTGGAACCCCCTATACCCCCGCCCCCCCCTAAGGAACACATGCTTTAGGCTTTCACCCCAAGCCTCCTTTAGTACTAAGAGTTAGTCTTTGGAACAAGTTCGAAATTTACTAAATGTGGAATGTCTTTAGATTGCGAATTTGGACACGGGACAAACACTATTGTATTTAGGACAATCTCTACATTCTGTAGATATGCCAAATGAGTAAACCTAGACTATGCTATAGCAGAAAGACACAAGAATCACCTTTTTAGAAAAGTGCAACAGCCACTTTTCTACACCAACTTTAGACTCTATTCAACTTAATTGATTTAGCCTCAAAAGTTAGCATCCCTTTTAGGTCACATCATATAAACTATATATTAACGTCTAAGCTAACAAAGTCAACTTCAACCCCTTCACTAGTTTATACTAGCTTACAAAAATAGATTAGTTTTTAAGCAAAATGATCAAAAAATTATCCATTGGAAAAGCCTAAGAAAATTTATGGAAAATTTTTCATCCTAGAAAAAGAATGATTCTCAATTTAGGAATACAAACTTTCAAGACTCAACCAACTTCCTCCTACTAACAACTTCACATAAGTTTACCTCAACATCAATTCTTATTACCTAACAGTATGTCTAAGCATCGAACATCTTGCCCATATTTCCGACATCCAACACTGATATCTGTGAAATGCAAAATAAACATCTGAGGCTTAATCACAAAGACCATATTTTCAGATATTCATATTGCACTAACACTCTTTTTCAACCATCTTTAAGATCCAATGTGAAGCTAAAACATTAATAAGAAAAATGATATAGAAAAATCAAGGTGTAAGGAAAATTCCTCATCACTTAAAATAACAATGCCACTTCCACTAACACAAGTGTTAACAATGCTAATGCCTCAACAACTTCACACTTTCACCATTCAATAATCTACTTCAAGTGCAACGGATTCACTGACAAATTATAGTAAATGAATGTTATAACCCTTTCCCAACACTTCAATGGGCAAACTTTCAAGGAAACAAAGTACTAATATAAGCTTAGCATATTATATATCACTATTGAGAATCTAGTTAAAGTTACTACAATGCTACTATGTGCAAGTAGACTAGCTTCACTATCAACCACTTTAGGGTTGATTATCATTTAACTAAGCAACTTTGTAAACATTTTGCTCACTATCACATAGATATGATATAAAATCACAATGACTTGATCATCAATTAAGCAACATCACGAGCAATGCCCATATCACTATTGCAAAGGTTTACGTGAGTATCAAGTGTCAAATCAATTAGACAAAATGCAACATAAATGCCACACCCCACCGATAGAGATATACAACACTCAACACCACTAACTTTTGTTCACAATACAGACAAACTCATGCCACTCTCTTTCCGACTAAACTCAAAACTAATCCAACACCAAGCTACTCAAGGAGCAACAGTAAAGTTCCCCAGAAAAGAATTGAGCAATGTAACTTAAGTTTTTAGTAGCAAGTCTAGACAAAATGGTTTATCACTTCACCACTATCCTATAAGTGACTAATTTTTCCATTCTACTTTAGTCACTTAACCACACCTCTAACCACTTGGAGGAGTCTCATTCACAACCTACTTAAGTCTAATTTAGGACATGGAACTTGCTAGCCCTGAAAATGGCATCCATACCACTCATCCTTTGCATTTGGTCCAAATGCTCCATATGTCCGGTCCCAAGACCGACGCCCTAAGGTACCACTGACATACCAGTGCATTACGCTAAGGCCATGCCCATTCACTTTAGTCACACCGATGGTCCAACACCACTTACATTGCAGTCCCGTCTCTCAATGACTGGGCCATCTGTCTAAGAGTGACCATCCAAGATCAACTCCTTAGCATCCTTAAGATGCCCGCAAACATGGGGAACCACCTTCCCCAATATCCCTTTTACAATCCCCACTAAGTCCCTTTTCCATCTATGGCCAAGTTTGCCTACACTGCCACTCGAACAAGGCCCACAGGCCTTACCACTAAGTCCTATTGTCCTCTGGGACTTTCTCACCACATGATCGTATCCTTGGTCACCACACCAAAGGACTACTCCTCTTCCATTCTACAGTCTGGGACTTTGGGACAACATTTTGGAACACCACAGCCTTACGCGAGTTTTGTGGGTACTTTTCCCGCTTTCCACCTTTGGGTGCTCTAGCCATAGGCTTAGAGCGAGGTTCCATTGAGCCACGCCAGGTATCCAAGTAGGTAATGCCACCCACATTTGGACTGGGAGCATCGACCATTCGATCTCCCGGGGGAACTAGAGCTGGCTTTTGAACACTTCATTAAGCTACCCCACTTGATAGTCTATATTCACTCTAGCGTTGGACCTCCCAGTGGTTATCCCATCACCTAACACTTGAGAACAACCTTCCTAGGCCAAACTTGCCTTTCTTGGCTAAACTGGCTCCACTGGAGTCTTCCCCTTACTATACTTTTGGAGCTTACCAAACCCCCCAAGGTGTGGGAGACGAATGCTTTGGGCTTTCACCCTCTCAGACTCAAACTCGGACTCGAACTCAGACTCAAACTCAGACTCGGACTCGGACTCGGACTCGGGCTCAGTCTTGGGCTCGGTCTCGGTCTCGGGCTCGGTCTTGACTTCGGACTCCATCTTGGATCCTTCTCGGACTCCATCTCGGACTCCATCTCCGGTCCATCTTGGACTCCATCTCGGACTCCATCTCGGGTCTATCTCAGTCCATCTCGGACTCCATCTTGGACTCCATCTCATACTCCATCTCAGACTCCATCTTGGTCCATCTCGAACTCCATCTCGAACTCCATCTCGGGTCCATCTTGGGTCCATCTTAGACTCCATTTTGGACTCCATCTCAGGTCCATCTCAGACTCCATCTCGGACTCCATCTTGGGTCC